TGGTTTTGTAATCAAGAAAGAATAAATCTTGGAAATAAATCATGTATTTTGTTCAAGAAACGAATTATGGATTCAAACGAATGTACAAGCATTGCAGATCAATATTTATATCATAATAAGGATGAAAAAGATATATTATATAACCCTAATCATCAATGAGTGAATCTGAGAAAGAATCCCTACCTTGATTCTTGAATCTGGATCCTAATGTGTTTCGTTGCGATTACCCTACGTTAATCCTTCAAGATTTATCTCGTTCTTCTTTCGTTTCTTCTCCTCAAAATTTTTCAGATTTCTTGGGGTTGAAAAATAGGTAAAGACTCTTTAAATCACGGCCCTAGGATATTTATAGGCTGAAAAATAAAGAATTCTCATGTGGGCACGGGTAGAAGTCTACCCCTGACTTCCAGCTCAGTTTTTACCTAATTAGACGCCGATTCACAAAGTTTTCATGAAATACAATTTTGTAGCCCTTGAAGTTTCTTTGCTACGGTAAAAATTTTAGATCAATCAGATATCAGGATAAAAAGTTATAGCTAAAATACAAAAGTTATGTCAAATTCTTTTTTTTCCCCCTAATCCTCTCCAAAATAGGTTTTAACTTAAGAATACTCCTAAACTTCTAATACAACTCATATAACCTCGTCCTTTGTTTTTTGACATTCTGGATTCAGTGGAAACCTTATTTTGACCTAAAAATATTTATAAAATTACTTTGCCACCCTTCTCAAATTTAAATATCTCCAAAACTTTATTTACTCTGAAAGTCAAATATGCATGAAACTTAAATTTGATAATTAAGATTTTAACAATTATTCTAATTTTCTATCATTATTTTATTCATCTTAGAAGAACTCTTAAGATGTTATTATCCTTGTTTTATTTATTTATTTATAGTATGGGGTCTTACATAGTATCACTTTGTTTTGTATACAGAAGGAGATCTAACATTTGAGGATTGATAATGGACACAACTCCATGTCCATTATGCCTGTGTTTGTTGATTAGCTGGATGTGCGATCTTAATTTGATGCCTTTGGAGGGCGAGCAAATAGGGAACTTGGGTTAAACGCTTGTAGAGCGACTAAACTAAGATTTGTATGGTGTCTAAATGTGACATATGCTCTTATTAGGATCAAGACACTCCACCGTAGCATGTATTTCATACTACATGTGCTTGGCGACAATTATGGAGGTGAAGGAATGGATCCCTGCTTCCTCACTGTGTGAGCCCTCTGAGTCATTTTTACATGACCAGGTTATTTTGTATAACCAAACATTTTGTGTACTCTCTGACTTTTGACTATGTCATAAAGTAAAAGAATTAATGCTCAGCTACTTTGGCATATTACTTATGGCTATGAGTTTTTTTTTTGGTCAGTTACTTACGGCTATGAGTGATTCGGCCTCTCGGGGCATTGTTGGGAAAACGGTTAATTTTGAACTAAGTGACATGAGGACGAAAAGAAGACCATTTGGAACATCCCGCGATATATTCACAGTCGACAACTTTGGGAGCTAGTTTATATAGTGACAAAGTGTGAATGTATAGGTGAAAGCTTTGATGGGTTATGAATGCTTTTATATTGTGAGGGATTAGAGAAGCTTGAACCGGTGTATCTGAATAGGTTTAGAGTAGAGCCACAATTTTTATTTTTTTTAGGGTTGATGTCTCTATGTTGGCTCTATAGAGTTTCTAGTGTAGAGCTCCTAAATTGCAAGTGTGCTCAGCGGTTGCACGATCCATTAGCCTGCATGAATTGATGTTGATGTATATAATGGATTGAGAGAGATGACACTGTTGTACCCACCACGTGTGAGTGGGAGATGTTAGATATTGGTTGGGTCATGGACCCGNTATAGAGTTTCTAGTGTAGAGCTCCTAAATTGCAAGTGTGCTCAGCGGTTGCACGATCCATTAGCCTGCATGAATTGATGTTGATGTATATAATGGATTGAGAGAGATGACACTGTTGTACCCACCACGTGTGAGTGGGAGATGTTAGATATTGGTTGGGTCATGGACCCGAACCGGGGTACCCATGGTGGGTCGACCCAAATTAAAGAATGCCCAAAGGGACATGTTTTTTGGAGGTATCCTTTTCCACCCAAAATACGTGTTTGTTAAATATTAACAGATACGTCCCTATAGGATGTGTCTCTTAATGAGACCTATTAGTTGCCTATATAAACCCAAGGCAATCCAATAGATGACACACCTCTGATAATTCATCTAACGTTAAAACTCTCCTACTTTTTTCTCTCTCTCTCCCTACATAACATTTGTAAGGCTTTTGTGCTGTGAAAAACCTGGTGTTGANTTAATGAGACCTATTAGTTGCCTATATAAACCCAAGGCAATCCAATAGATGACACACCTCTGATAATTCATCTAACGTTAAAACTCTCCTACTTTTTTCTCTCTCTCTCTCTCCCTACATAACATTTGTAAGGCTTTTGTGCTGTGAAAAACCTGGTGTTAATTCGTCATATGTAACAACATCATACTACTCGAGCAATTAAAGAAAAGATGTTGATTTGGATTCCAAATTACGTGAAACATTCTCAAACGATTTTGGGATTAAATTGCATAAGCTATGTCTTTAATCCCACGCTCCTGCAATATGCTATACGATTTTCAACACATGCATTGTACGTGAATCATTTAAAAAAAATAAATTTATTATAAATTTAAATATATTAAAAAAATATGTATTTAAGAGAACAAAATATACAATTCAAAACAACTAGAGAAAAAAAATCATTTATTTCTTGAATTAGCTCCTCGGATGGATTTAACAATAGATTGTTTACTTAAAATGAAAAGATCGCGCAATGTACCAACTTCACTCTCAAGTTATTGTTGCTTAAGAATGTTCAACATCCAACTATTGAACAATTACTATATATGCAGAATACAAATATATGATGAGAAGAGCTCAATTCTGAGACAAGCTTGACAGTAAATGCTGAAAATGTAATCACAAATATATTTTGTTCACAACATACTATTGTAGACTACAACTCATTTGTTTTAGGGTTAATTATATTAAAGGTCCCCAAAGTATAAAATGTCTCATTTTGGTCTTTGAAATATTAAATATGTTTCTATATGATTCCTCAAATAAACAATATCAAAATTGCTAACGATTTTTTTTAACAGAATGATCACGTGTTGAACACATGATACCATCTAAAAAAATGACATACAGTCACTTTTGTCCTAAAACTTGACGGTCCGTCTATGTAGAGACTAAAATGACACGAATTGAATATTTTAGAAATAAAATTGATCAAATTGATACAATGAAAATTAAACTGATAAAAAATACTTTCTTTTAAGACTAAAAGTGAAATTAATCCAAAAAAAAAAAAAAAAAGAAGGCATCTTTTTGGATATCCGTGCATTTTTCATATTTCAATGATTCTTTGGGGATTTGAATATTTTGTCCTGAGTGTATCCTTTGCTCATTTTCTTTAGGTTTTCCAGCAGTTTTTTTTATCTAAGTTTATGGTTTCCAGCATTTTACAATTAGAAGATGAGTTCTTTCAGAGAAAACTTGGGTAATACTGACTGGTTGTTTTTAATCAGAGAAATGTCATTCTGATTAATGGAACACTTCCGAAGTTGCGCTTCACAACAACATTACGGCTTGAATACNTTCTTTCAGAGAAAACTTGGGTAATACTGACTGGTTGTTTTTAATCAGAGAAATGTCATTCTGATTAATGGAACACTTCCGAAGTTGCGCTTCACAACAACATTACGGCTTGAATACCTTATGGACTTTCTTTAAACACTACTGATAAGATTCCTCTCTTTCTTTCATTTTTTTTCCTTTCCTCGAAAGTTTACTGGTTAGTCTTGTGCACATATCCCTCACAACTGGTATTGATGCTCTCTCTCTGATTTTTTCTCTGGGATTTGAATCCGACCATAAATCCCGGTGAGACTCACTACATGGAAACGGGTTTTACACCAATGTACCATGAGTAGTCTACTACCGAGAAAGTCAAAAAAATAAATTAAGGTCCTCATTCTACAGTTCCAATCTCCCCAAATCAGGGTCGATAATCCAATCATACTCGAATAATAAGAATATTGAAAGGATGGACCAGACTCATGTAATCATCCTGCAGTCAAGGTTTTTTTTTCTATAGAGATAAAAACAACTTACTACAGGCAAACTTACCAAATTAATGTACGTCAAATTTATGATAAAATGTGAATGAGTGATATGGGTATAGAAAGAAATTAAGGACTTACTGTGCATTCAGTGCATACAACAATTTAAGATATTGCCACATTTGTACCTGTTGAGAGATTGCAAATAACAGGAGAGGAAACAATTATGTGTACAATTTTTTTCTACAGAGATAAAAACAAGTTATACATCTAGACTTGAATTAATGTATGTTAAATTTCTAATGAAATGTAAATGAATAATAAATGTGAAGAAAGAAAGGAAGGACCCACTGTGCATTCAATGCATACAACAGTTTAAGAAAGTGTCACATTTGCACCTATTGAGAAGTTACAAATTATGGGAGAGGAGAGTGTTGTGTTTACAATTATTTTTGATAGTGGTCCTGATGGTCGGTCTATGAATTTCTTCTAATAGAATTTTTTTTTGTTTTTTGTTTTTTTTATGGAAAAGTTTAAATAATCTGAATACAAAGTTGTAAAAATAGGAGAACAGTGATTCAAAACCAAATAATATGAGAACATTGATTCCAAATCCATAAAATAATTTTTTTTTATTTTATTTCATTGTTTTCTTTTCACCAAAAAGGAAAAACAACAATATATATATCATATTACAATTATCCTCTTTATTAACCATTAATTGTAAAAAAATCCTTGATTAATTCTTAAATAAACACTATGACTCACATTGATGAAGTAATAAAGATGTTGAAAGAAAGTAAATACTCATTGTGCATTCAATGCACACAACAATTTAAGAAAGTGCAACATTTGCACCTGAATACATTTGATTCTACAGAAGGCTACTTTGACTGAAATGGATTGAGCCTAGCCACTGGAACCTAGAGCAGAGGATGAGCTCTTGGAACAGTGAAACCAAGTCCCTCTTCCATGTCCACACTTCCATTTCCTCCAACACCAACCTTCCATTCAAGTAAATAATAGAAATGGGTCCTCTATTTTGTCTGTCTCTCCCACCTTGAACCAAAATCACCATTGTTGATATCTCCTTGCTCCCATCTCTTGTCTCTTCTTCACCGAATACCCTATCTTCTTCTTTCGGTGGCCCACCTATCTTCATAACCTCTCATCTTGCCCTATCCTTTTTGTTTTGGCAGCTACGATACAACCAAACCCCTTTACATCCCACAATTACTTTCTCACCTTTGACACCATAATCCTAAAATCAACCAACTCAAACACTAAAACCCTTTCTCAATTACTTCCCCCACTTCTAGATCTCTACCCAAATCTTTCGATCTGACACCCATTTTGCATTAATGCCTTACCCAACCATTTCCCCTCCATTACTCACACCCCTTAACTAACCCATTTGTCAGCTCACTTTTCTGATGGAATCATTCAACGAGTCAGCAAATCCAAATAAAAACCAAGACATTAACCCTTCTTTGATGTTTGTTGAAGAAGCAGTTACGGAGGGCCAAGGACATATAGGAAAACAAAAAGGGATAACCCACAACCAAGTTAATGAAGTTGAGGGTAAAACACCGAATTCTATTAGCAAAGGGAAACCCAAGGCCACAGCTCAGTCGGACCTACTCAAAGGGGAATTAGCGCCAGTGAATAACAGTCAACAGAGACAAGGTCCACCCAAGTTGTCTTGTACCCAAGTTGCGAAGGCAGGCAAAGTAAGTAACCCTCAAGAAGGAAACCCAGCTAATGGGGGGGGGGGGANCCTACTCAAAGGGGAATTAGCGCCAGTGAATAACAGTCAACAGAGACAAGGTCCACCCAAGTTGTCTTGTACCCAAGTTGCGAAGGCAGGCAAAGTAAGTAACCCTCAAGAAGGAAACCCAGCTAATGGGGGGGGGGGGACAACAAATCATGAGGTTAAAGTATTTCAAACCTTGCAAAGAAAATGATAGAATTGTTGTCAAGCCACCATTAGAAATCGGAAAATAGGGATGTCTTGAGTGGCAAAACTACCTTGTAGGGTATTTTATAGAGAGAAAGTTGCCCTATTCCACATTTAGCTTCATTGCTCACAAGGTTTGGGATAGGATGGGTTGCTGAAGGTTCTTGCAAATGGAAATGGATTTTACTATTTTAAGTTCATGGATGATGAATCTCGAACTAAGGTGTTTGAGGCTAGCCCTTGGTTATTCTTAGAGAGGACACTCATCTTGAAAAAATGGACCACTGATCTGTTATTTACCAAAGAGGATCACTGCACCATACCATTTTGGGTTAAGTTATACAATTTACCATTGTAATTCTAGAGTGTGGATGGTCTTAGCCATATTGCTAGTGTAGTTGGGACCCCTTTATATGCTGACACATTGACTACCAACAAAAAAAGGCTTAACTTTGCAAGGATTTGCATTGAGATGAGTGCAGGTGCCAATCTTGTGGAGGCATTTGATTTGAGGATGGATATGGAAGACAAAACAGAGACGGTGGAAATAAAGGTAGAGTATTAATGGAAGCCTAGTGTTTGTCAATCTTGTAAAGTGTTTGGTCACAAAGAAGGTTGTTGCCCACAAATAGGAGCAAGTCACTCTTCTTAAAAAAAGTCAAACATGAATGCCACTAGTAGCAAGGACCAGGGGAAAGCCAATATAACCCCATTGAGGGATGTGGGAGGATCCATGGAGGTTCCACAACCTAGGAAAAACTTACCCCAAGTGGGAAATATGGTTGCTAGTAGCAGTAGTGTCATCAAGTCAATTACCAACCAGTGTCCAAATGGACCACAAGATGAAACCCAAGTAACTACTAACATTGTCATTGCTATTATTGTAAGTGATAAAAATCATACAAAGCAGTTTTCTAAGCCAATTCAGTCCCCTAAAAAATTTGAAAGCTTAAATATCGAAGGAGATAAAATTGTTGTGGATTTATCCCCAGTCCCTTGTATTAATAGTGGTAATGTGGCTATTNGATTATTTGATGCTCCTCCATCTTTTACCAATAACTGTTGCTGCTTGTTAGTCCAAGTCCCATCGTTTGCAGATATTGCTTCTCCACAATCTGCAAGTGGTGGACAATACATAGACCAAATTCAAAAACAACTCTAGTATTATTCATCTGGAATAATGAGTTTTTAATTTTATGAAGAATTCAAGATAAGGGAAACTCTACAATTTGGTACCGGTACTGCCAATTACTATTTTTTATGATAAAATTACGACTTTGAAAGAAGAAGTTACAACGACATAGAAACATGAACAGAAAGACAAGATATGACATTGGAACATAGTTATGATTAACAACATATGTCCACTGCTAATCAATGAATAATGAAGTAACAGAGAGTGTTCAATAAAACTCTATGAAATATCACCAAGCAGCTAACACTTTTAGTTTGGTCTGTTGATAGAAACCTTTCCCTTGTCCTCCTCTACATAAAATTCACCAAAATATAGGCTCAAAAAAAAATAGTCAATGCCAAGTAATATAATCTGGAGCCCTGTTGTGGGAGTAAAACTCACAACCTGATGAATTTACCATGACTTTAGATGCAGCAGAGAGAGAGAGAGTGACCTGCCATTTTGGTGACCAAGGTTGAAACTTGAAAGAAGCTCTCCAAATTATATAGGCATGAGAAACCACTAAAAATTATAATATTTAAAAGTTAATATATATATATATATATTTATTTATTTATTTATATGTGGATCAAAATTCTAACTTATGATAATGTAAGGTATAATTTAAAATAATGTAATGATCGATCATAAAATATATAATTTTTTGGGTTAATCTCATTTTACACCCTGAAAGATAGTTCGAATCTCAATTTGCACCCTCAAAGAGTAAAAATCTCAATTTGCACCCTCANTTAATCTCATTTTACACCCTGAAAGATAGTTCGAATCTCAATTTGCACCCTCAAAGAGTAAAAATCTCAATTTGCACCCTCAAATATAGAAATTTGTATCAATGTGTACCCACAAAGATAAAAAATCTCAATTTGCACCCTCAAAGATAGAAATTTGTATCAAT